CGTGACGTAGCGCTGTGCCATTGGCCCGGGTGGGGCGATGATGTCATCGTCGTGGTGGGGGGGGCGCTCCGTTCCGGCGCGGCGCGGCCATGGACCGGCGGCGGCGGCGGCGGCGGGGCCCGGGCGAGCAGGTACGGGGGGGGACACCGGGGGCTCCGGGAGTTCGCGGTGGCTCTGCGAGACTCGGCCCCGCTTGGCCAGGTCCGGCCCGGCTCGTCCCGGCTCACGGTGGGGATCCCACCGCGCTCAGCCCGGCTATTGTCCGGCGGGCGGGCGGGGTCCCCGGAGCTGCCGCGCTCCGGTACCGGGCAGAGGGGCGGCCGGGACCCCCCGCCTCGTTCCCCTGGGGCCGGTGCGCGGCGTGGGTGGGCGAAGGGGTTAACAGGATGCGGAGCGCTGTTTGCCCAGCGCGGGGCACCGGCCCGGCTCACCCCACCCCGCCCCAGCCGCGATCGCCGCCCGTTCGCCCGCGGCTCCGCCGAGCCCCGCGCGGGGGTGGCGGTGGCCGGGGCTGGCGGGGGTCGCGGCCGGGGTGGTGGCTGTCCCCGGCTCGTGTCGGGAAGGTGGATCCTCGCCGAGCTGGAGCAGGTCCAGCGGCACCCCGGGGCTGGGCGCCCGGCGGCTGCTGAGTCAGAGCCGCCCGAAATCCCCGTCCCGCTCATGGCCCGGTGGCCCCGGACAGGGGTCCCGGCTGAGCGCAGCCTGCCCTTCGCCCTGCTGCCCGTCCCTGGGCGGCACACACCGCTGCCAAAGGTGCCCCGGAGAGAGGGACTGCCCGGCTGTGTCAGCGCTGGGCACGGGACTGGCTCCCAGACCAGCTCCGGTGCCCGCAGAGCTGCGGGTCGGTGGGCAGCGACGGCTGGCGGGGCGCTGGACTCGTCCCACGCCGCCCCGGTTTGACCCCGGCAGCAGCAGCAGTGTGAAGTATAGATGTTTCCAAGCGCCGAATCTATGGATCAGGGCGGCTGTTCCAAAGGGAGTTGGGATCTATAGAGCAGAAGAACTGTTCTGAAGGGATCGTTAATGGGCTGTGGGGGGAAACTGAGGCACAGCGTGCGATCTCTGCAGCCGGGACAGGGCTCGCTCCCCTGCCGGGCACGCAGTAAACAAATTTTGTTTTGGACGCAGCTCCCTCGGAAACCGTGGAGCGATTCCAGCTGAGGTTTAGCACCGAGGAGGCTCAGCCTGTTTGGGTCTGGGGGTGCAGAGCGAGCCTGGCCTGAACCCCGATCCCCTCCCGGCTCCGTGTCCCGGAGCTCCTCCGTGCTCCCTCCGCGGCCCCCAGCGCCAGCCCCCGGCGTTGTGCTGACCGTGCCGGTCGCTGCCTTTGTTCGCTGGGTTTTGTCCCGAGCACAAACAGCCGCCGAGGGCCCCCCGAGCCGGCCGGCTGCGGGCTCCGGGCCCCCGGCAGGTAGGGAGCTGTGGCCGCGCTCTGGGAATTCTGCCTGCTTTACTTCCCGTCCACCCCAGCGAAACCGCAGGAATTCCGAGCCCGGCGCAGGTCGGGAGGTCTGTTCAGCCCCGGTATCCTGTTCAGCCCGGCCAGCCCCTGTTGTGAGGCAGAGCCAGGGCCAGCGAGGAGATAACCTTTCCCCCCGGAAAAGTCCCCTCCTGGCCCTGCAGAGCCGCGGGCTGGTTCGTGGCCTCGGAGCTGGAGGATTTATGGCCCTGTGCGTGTTCTGGCGTGTCCTGCCAATAGTTCCTTGCTGAACTCTGGCTACCTCCTGGCTGTTGGCAGTCCCTCGGGGAGCGCTTCTCTGCTTTTGGCACTGGCGGTGCGTTCCCAGCCTGGTGCTGCTCCGTGTGCCGAGAGCCCTGGTGAGAGCCAAGCTTCTCCTCCATCCCCGGCTCTGATGCTCGCTGGCAGCGGCTTTTCCACTTCCAGAGGCCGCTCCGTGCATCCCACGGTCGCGGTGCAGCGGCGTCCCGATGCCAGGGACAGGACCGGACCTGTCACCGCGCCGGGGTGGGGGCGGTCACTGGGGCGCCGGGGCTGCCCGCACTGACAGCACCGTCTGCCCCCAGGCCCTGGGAAGAGCCCGACCGAGGGTGTGACAGCGGCTGGGTCCCCTCCTGGGCCGGCCGTGGCAGGGTGTGATCCGTGCCCTGTCTCCAGCTGCTGTCTGCGAGACTCCAACATCAAAGGATCAAAGGATCCCCGAGGGGCAGCGCACCCCAAAGTGGGGCTGAGAGCAGGTGGGGTGGCCTCCCTGTCCCGTGTGTGGGATCTCCCTGGCCCTGGGCAGTGTGGGGGGACCCGCCCGGTCCAGCACAGCCCCTGCCCCAGCTCCTGGCAGGGCGGGGAGAGCATCCTGTGATCTCGGGGTGCTGCCTGGGGGGCTCTGCATGGAGAAGCCGGGGAGCTCGTTTGCAGCTCGTTTGCAGCTCGTTTGGAGCCGGCTGGGCCGGCCAGGATGCTTTCCCAGGTTGGCTTTCCCAGCCTGTGAGCGGGAAGAGCTGGGGGCAGGATGCATTGGAATGTGGCTGGACTTGGCATTTCTCCTGTGTGCACTTCTTCACTGGCCTCCTTCTCTGAGCCACTTTCAGTCTGGTCCCCACGGGTGACTGATGCTGAGTGGGATGAGATGGAGAAGATGGAGGGGGGTCTCGTGGGAAGCCTGCACCATCAGGGCACGTGGGCCTGGCCAGGGCTGTCCCACTTCTGTGCTGTCCTACAAGCAGACATTCATTTACAGGGACAATTGTGTCCCTGGGCACCTCAGGTTCTCACTCCTCAGAGCCCGTGATCCCACAGGGCTCAGAGGCCAGGTGGGAAGCAGCAGCACAGGGCTGTCAGTACAAGTTATCCCTCTTGTTCTCGACCCAAGCATGCAGGTCCTGTCCCCTCCCCTTGCCCCAAAGCCCTGCTGGGGTTTGGCTCTGCTCTGGGCTCGCTGCCCCGGCATGGGCAGCGCTGCCAGGTGCCTGCGAAGTCTCTCGGGTTACCAGCAGCTTCCCCTGGTAGGTGGCTGGACAGGCAGCGCCAGCGATGCCTCCCCGGCCTGGTTTCCTTTGTGAAAGCGCCGGCAGCGGGAATGTCACAGGATCTGCTCTCCCCGAGGGGGAGGAGGAGAAAAGGGCTCTGTGTCCGCGTCCCCGGGGCCGGGCTGTGCGGGCAGCACTGTCCATCTGTGCTGCCATCACCTCCCGGGGCGGGCTGGGACCGAATCATCGGGGGCTAGGGGCAGATTTTGGCTGCTGTGAGGAGGCTCTGTGGGCTGGAGCGTTCAGGGGAGGGGACACGGTGCTGGTTTGGAGGCTGTGACGGTGATGGAGAACTGCTGGCCCCGCCGGTCCCGCTCCAACCTCCCGGTGGCCCCTTTGCCGCGGCTTGCAAAGTATCTCACAAATGCTGAACTTGGCCCCGAAATCTAAATACAAGGGAGGGACAGTCCCCAGATGGCCTAAATCAGCAGCACGGTTGCCTGGCCCAGCTGGGGAGCTCGCCGGGAGTGTTTGTTTTATGGAAAACCAAAGGCTGCAGGAATGCTGGCCTGGAAGGAGATGTTGGAAGGGGAAAGTGTTCGTGCCATGCACACGCGCCCGGCCGGAGATCCCAGAGAGGGAGCGGGGTCCAGAGAGCTGCTCCTGTGTTGTTGGGAGGGGCAGGAATTCCCCCAGCTCCAGTTTGAGGTGTAGGAAGGGGGTGTGGCTCCTTGGTGGCTTCCCCCAGCTGCTGGGGATGGACTGGGGGCTCCCTAGCTGGTCCCCCATGTGCCATCATCCCCCTGGGGGCTCGGGCTGTGCCTCCCTGGGCTGGTGGGGTCCTGCACAGGGCTGGACAGGGAGTGTGGCCATGTGCCACCAGTGCCGTGCCACTCCTGCCCTGGCCAGGCCCATCCGGGAGCCGTGCACGACAGGGTTGGGCAACGGGACTTTGTCCCAGCGTGGGGCCAGAGTCCATCCTGCCCGGCCACAGCCTCCCTGAGCTCCTGCTGCTCCTGTGGGGGACAGCGGGGTGTCACAGCGTGGGTGTGGGGTGTCCCCTCGCCGTGCTGGCAGCTCTGGGGTGGGTGCTGTGGCTCCTGGTGTTCCAGCTGGGCAGGACTGGGCTGTGCTGGGACCATCGCTGCCCTCGGGCTGTGGGGCCGGTGGGCACCGGGGGGGAACGTGGCCCTCGCCCCGAGGACACACGTCCGTCCTGTCCGTCCCTTCCCCGTGCGTGTCACGGGGCGCGGTGTCGCCGGCGGTGCCCGCAGGGAGGAAGAGGGCGGCCACGAGCCCTTCCTCCCCGGCAGCCTCTCCCGGGACCACCTGGGGCTGCCTGGCGCCACGGGATGCAGGGACACAGTCGCTGTCCTTGTCCCCTCCTGCGTGGCTACGGACACTGGTGAGCTGGTGGCCCCGAGGTGGCCGAAGAAAGGAACATCGTGCCCGTTGCCATTTTGGTCCGACAGAGCCCTCGTCACTTGTGTCACCTCTGAGTCACAGCGGTGACGATGAGACGGCCGGGGGATGGTCACACATGGACTCAGCTCCGAGGAGCAGCACGGAGGGTTTTGGGGGGCTCCAGAGCAGCAGCAAAGCTGTGTCCCCTCGTCCCCATCCAGCCAAGCATGAAGGGGTCCCCATCCTGGTCCCCCCGTCCCCCTGCTCGGCTGGCGGTGCCTCCCGGGGGCTCTACGCCCTCCTCACACACTTCCTGCCGTCTGTTTCCAATTCCTCCTGGCGTCTGCTCCTCCCTGCTTTCTTCCAATTAGAAAAAAAAAAAAAAATCCCAGGCATCTTCTCAGCGTGCAGCTCGCAGAGGCTGGAGCTGCGGTGCCCCGCTTGGGAGGGCTGGGGCTGCACCAGGAGGGGACAGAGGGTGCCCGTGGTGCCCTGCCTCTCTTTTGGTGCCCATTCACGTGGGGCACAGAGTCAGGGATCATCCTGAGGGATTTCTGTGCCCAGGTCTTTCTCTTGAGGTTCTCTCTGCTGTGGGGATGGGTCTGGGGGTGTGAGGAGCTCAGGGGGGTCTGTGGATGTGTCCTGTGTGAAATTGAGCCAATTCCTGGGGAGAGCCAAGCAGCTGGTGGGCACGGGGTCACATTTTACGGATTGGTGGGATGAAATCTGGCACCCACCCACATCCTCAAAACCTGACCATGTCCCTCCTTCCTCTGCCCTAGGAGTGACCCACCCGTGACTCCACGAGGATCCCGGCTGTGGAGCCCCAGCTGTGAGCAGCAGGCTCAGGACAGCGTGCCCAGGACAGCAGTGGCACAGCGTGGCACAGCCTCCCCTGGTCGCCACCATGCCCATCCTCAAGCAGCTCGTGTCCAACTCCGCGCACTCCAAGCGCCGCTCACGGGCTGACCTGACGGCCGAGATGATCAGCGCTCCCCTGGGCGATTTCCGCCACACCATGCACGTGGGGCGAGCCGGGGACGCCTTTGGGGACACCTCCTTCCTCACCAGCAAGGCCGGGGAGCCGGTGCCAGAGGTGGGAGAGGAGCCGGGAGCCTCCAAGCCCAGCCTGCTGTCCCGGCGCTTCCGCAGCAGCAAGCGCTCGCAGTCGGTGACACGCGGGGACAGGCGGGACATGCTGGGCTCGCTGCGGGACTCGGCGCTCTTCGTCAAGAACGCCGTGTCCCTGCCCCAGCTCAACGAGAAGGACGTGGACAGGAGCGCGGGGCAGCTGCCCAAGAGCCTCTCCTCCAGCCCCGTGAAGAAGCTGCCCGAGGAGATGAGCCCCGAAGAGCAGCAGCGCCCGAACGGGGCGGCCGCGGGGCCGCTGAGCCCCGGCTTGGACGAGCGCGACTTCGGGGACATCACAGAGCTGCCCGTGGTGGTGGCCAAGGGCGGGGCGGGCTTGAAGCACGCCGAGTCCATCATGTCCTTCCACATCGACCTGGGGCCCTCCATGCTCGGGGACGTGCTGAGCATCATGGATAAGGAGCAGTGGGAGCAGGATGAAGATCCCGAGGCGGAGAGCCGCGAGGAGCAGGAGGAGGAGGAGGAGGAGGAGGGCGAGCCTGCCCCGCCTGGCTCCCCGCTGGTGGCCCCGCCGAGCCAGAGCCCGGCCCGCGGCGCTGGTGGCCGCAGCCCCAGGGACAGCAGTCCGGTGTCCAGCTGCACCTCGGGGCCCGAGGAGCGCAGCCCTGTCCCCAGGCCTCCGAGCCAGCGGGGAGGGGCCCTGAAACGCCCCGACAAGGAATTCTCGTTCGCTGATGAAGATGATGATGAGATCCGGGTATAAGGGCGGGCGGCCGCGCCGAGGGTCTCGTTCTCACCGCGGTTGTTTGGACACAGGGATGAACACTCCAACTGGTGGCACTGGGGAAGACTGGACTCCTCTCCTGCCTCGTTCCCTCTCTGTGCTGCAGCAGGACAGCTCTCTGCTCCCGGGGCTGTTCCTGATGTCTGGCAGCCCCCAGAGAGCTGCAGCACTTCCTGGGAGGGGGAAGCAGACTCCATTTTGGTTCTTTCTGCTGGACTTTGGATATTAGCTCCTTTCTCCTGCCCCCCTGCCCGTGTAAAGCGATTTAGGATCCAACAAGACGAGCCTTTGGAGTTTTAGCCCCTTTAGTAATATATGTATATTTTCCGCCGTACAGTTTTTACTGTTTTCTGATTTGTACTTACCTTTCTCTACTCTCTTTTGGTTTTAACTGAGGGAAGATTTCCCACGAGGAAGAACACGTCTCTGGAGCTCAGAGGTGGCCTGGGACTATGGGCAGCTCCAGTTTCCTGGGTTTCTTGGGGACTTTCTGCAGACCCAGAGCCTCCCTGTACTGTGGCAGGTGCTCGCTCCCCATCCCTCGGATGGATGGATGGATGGATGGATGGATGGATGGATGGATGGATGGATGGTTCCATCCCAGATTCTTGACCCTCCAACCAGCCTGGGGGTCACAGGGACGCTGATGGAAGTGTGGTTCTGTCCCCTGTGGGAGCAGCACCTGGAAGCCACCAGAACCAGGGTGTCCCAGTGGGGCTGGGCAGTGCTGGGAGCAGGCAGCTGGAACAAGAGGTTTTATACCGTGTATGTACAAATGCAAGGAATAAAAGGAAATGCTAGTGACTGCAGTGGCCTCAGTTCCTGACGGGTGACACGTGGGAGGAGTGTCCTGCCCAGGCAGGACCGGTGTCCCTGTGCTGCCACCAAGCCCAGCCTGTCCTGCTGCCCCTGTGCTCGCTGCCCATCCCTGGCCGTGCTCCTGGCCATGGTTTGGGCACCTGCCGTGGCCCAGCTTTCTCTGCCCGTTGCCTGAGGAAGCAGGAGAGCTCCTGCTGGCCGGATCTGGCTCAGGGCTGGGACCCTCGGGCCAGGCAGCTCCTGCCAAGGGAGGCTCTGCCAATCCTCCCCCGGCCCTGATCTCTCCAACCAGGGAGGAGGGGACGGTGCTGGAGGGGCAGGACTGGCTGTCCCTGCTCCCACGGGCTGGGGGCCAAGGGGTGCCCGGGGGGTTCCTGGCTGGCATGGCCCTGGGTGATCCTGGCATAGAGATCAGGGCAGGTCAGTCCCATCCCACAGCCAGCTTCCCACAGCTCAGCCCTTGGGGAAATGGGGCTCTGCCAGTGCTGGGAGTCACTTCCTGCTCCAGCCCCTTGGATGGAGCTGGGCTGAGATGGGGCAAAGTACCAGGAATGGCTCCAGAGCCTTCCCCTGAGCACTGCCAGGCTCTCCTCACTGGAGAGAGGGGATGGTTTATCATTTATCCCCCTAAACATCTCCCAGCCCTGGGAAGGGCTGGATGCCCCTGCCCACCCAAATGGAGAAGCCAGGGGAGCAGGCAAACGCTGTGCCACAGTGGGGACACAATGGGGTCCTGTCCTGTCATCCTGGGCAGGGGACATTGGGCCATTGTCTGGGACAGGGAGAACAACAGCAGCTGCAGCTGGAAGCTCTGAGCTCACCAGGCTGCCTCTGCCCCGGTCACCGTGCCCCCTGCCCTCTGCCAGGGTCCCATGTCCCACTCCCTGAGCCAACCATCCTGGTCATTGTCACCTGGGAGGTCACCAGGCTGCTGGGGGACAACTGGCTCCTCTTGTCCCTTAGGGATGCTCTGGCACAAAGCAGCGAGGTTCGGTCCCTGAGGTTTGCCTCCTTTGCTCCCCGGGGCTGTGGGGTGGGGACAAGCCCTGGGGTGACATTTACGGGCCGCCTGCCACTGTCACTTGGCCACCCTGATCTTTGTGACGCCTGTCGGCTCCAGGCTCGGGCTCGGCAGCGCCGCGATGCCGCGAGGTGATGGGGCAGAAAGTGTGTGCAGGGCTGCTGAGCACAGCCGGGACACGGCCCCGCTCCGTGGGACAGGGAGTGGCCCTGGGACACCGGGAGGGAGCAGGGACAGGGACAGTGTCATGTGTCCTGGGCTGGTGGGGAATGCCACAGGGAGCCAGGCTGCACCTCCAGCCTCCCCAAACCCCTCACAGGTGGGCACAGTGACATCTGTCACATCCCAGGGTGGCACCTGGGTTGTCCCACACTTCTGCTGAATGGGCGGTGGGTGCCCAGCACCAACCCCTCGGTGGGCACAGTGACATCTGTCACATCCCAGGGTGGCACCTGGGCTGTCCCACACCGTTGCCAGGTGGGTGGCGGGTGCCCAGCACCCTGCAGCACCCACGGGCAACGCTGTGGCCGTGCTGGTCCAGTGGTTTGATGGCAAGTGACAGAATGGGGGCAGGGCTCCAGCGGCCGTGTCAGCCCACGGCGCCCCGGGCGCTGAGCGTGGCCACCGGAGCCGTGTGATGGAGCAGGGATGGAGCACTGGGATAAATCCAGGGGCTCCTGGGGGTGGGCTCTGGGAAGCTCACGGAGCCCTGGTCATGCCCAGAATGTGCCACCAGAGCCTGGCACCCATGAAAGCCCCAAAGCAGGGATGGAAGGGGATTCTGGGCAGCCCAGTGGACGTGTGCCTGCCTGTGGATGTTTGCCAGGTGCTGGAGGGCAGACCTGGGGCTGGTGCTGCCCACCCAAACACACCCAGCATTCCAGCATTGGAATGCTCAATCCCAGCTCTCCAGCCATATTTGTCTCTATTTAAAGCCCCGAAGTGAGGGGTTAACCCAGCTCCCAGGCAGCCCCAGCCGAGGTTTCTGGAGGAGAAGCAGATGTAGGAGCGAGGGGCTGCCTGGGGCTGATCTCCCCAGCTGCAGCAGCAGGCAATGAGGGCTGCAAATTGGGATCAGATGTGGGCAACTTCCCCCTCATAATGCAGCACTCCAGAGCTGCTTGGGTTCTGCTCTGCCTGGGGAGGAGGAGGAGGAGGAAGAGGAGGGTTTTGGAGTGTTGCTGGGGCCCAGGGTGGCTGCAGGGACCTCCGGAGTGTGGGGCTCCCTTTGGAGAGCTGTGTTTCCCTGCCTCTTGCCCTGCCTGTGCCAGGCTGGAGCGGGCTCTTCCCGGAGCAGGGATGATGCAGGAGCTGGTGGCTGGCGTGGAGAAGATCAGGTTTGACTCAGAGGCTGATGTGGAGGAGCTCGGAGCTCGGCCCCTGCCCTTCCCGGGGGTGGACGGTAAGTTGGGGACAGGGCTGTGGGAGTTTTGGGGGTTCTCCTCTCGCAACACTTGGGTGGTTTTTATCGTGGCTCTGGGCATTGCTCCCTCAGGGATGCAGCTGGCAAAACTCCTGGGGGGCTGCCAGGGTCCCCAGTGTCCCCATGGTCCCAGCACTGGGGGTAGAGGGAAGCCCTCCCTACCCCGGGGCAGCGGGGACAGGCTGGCTGTGACAGCGGGGACAGGCTGGCTGTGACAATGGGGACAGGCTGGCTGTGACAGGGCTGTCCCAGGTGTGCAGGGCCACCCCCGGCACGGTGGAGCCAAGCCCGCGGTGTGCAAGCATTGGCTGCGAGGGCTCTGCAAGAGAGGCGACGGCTGCGACTTCCTGCACGACTACGATGCCACCAGGATGCCCGAGTGCTACTTCTACTCCAAGTTCGGTAGGTTCGGGGCTGGACATCCCCGGGACCCTCCTCCCACCACTCCTCCCCTCTCGTGTCCCTCGGTCTGGCCTCGAGCAAGCGGCTGATGCCACCTCCTGACTGCGGGAAGAAGTGCCACTGTCACTCGGGTCACTGTCCCCGTCAGCCCCAACCAGGCTGTTCCCAGGGCACCCCAATTCCTCTCACCCAGCCCATCCTCGAGTGATTCCCGCTGCGTTTGGCCGGAGTGAGAATTGTCCCGACTGTCCCTTGTTCCCGCAGGTGAGTGCAGCAACAAGGACTGTCCCTTCCTGCACGTCGATGCCACCACTGCCAGCACCGTGGGCTGTCCCTGGTACGACCGTGGCTTCTGCAGGCACGGTGAGCTGGGGCAGGGCGTGCCCAGCGGGAACAGAAACCCAGCAGCACCCGGAGGGGATTTGGGCTCGGGGCTGCAGAGAAAGCAGAGCTCCCACAATCCTGGGGCGATTCTGTGTCACTGTGAGTGTCCCCTCTGCCTGGCAGGTCCCCTGTGCAAGTACAAGCACACGAGGAGGGTGATGTGTGCCAACTACCTGGTGGGATTCTGCCCCGAGGGACCCAAGTGCAAATTCGTGCAGTACGTACTGGGCAGGCTGGGGAGGGCTTGGGGAGTGGTTGGGGAAGGGAAAATGCCCTCTCTGAGGTGGCTGTGACCCTTGTAGGGTCAGGGACAAGGACACAAAGGGTCTGAATTAAACAAACCCCACACCCAAGCTGTGCTGCTGACAGCAGGGGACAGCCCTGGTCCCCATGGAGGTGCCTGGACCAGCTCTAGGACATCCCTGAGGGGGTTGTGGGATCCTCAGGAGGGTCTGGGGGCACCACAGGGACTAACTGCCTGTCCTGTGTGTCCCCTCCAGCCTCAAGGCCGGGCTCATGACCAGCAGCACAGACCCATCCAAGGTGAAGCTGCTTTCCCTGTGCCCACGGGGGTGATGCCCCAGCTGGCCCCCAGCTCCTGTGGGGCAGCAGCTGAACTGAATTGCCCCTCCTGCCCCCTTTATTCCCTCCAGGAAGCTGGGTGTCCGTGGGGGCTGGTACAGAGGGGTCTGCCTGCTGCAGAGGAGAGGGCAGGTGAGGATGTGCCACCCAAGGAGCCACCTCCGCGTGGCACCCAGCACCTGGCAGCTCATCTGTGGGACACCAGTGGGTGCCCCCCGAGCACACAGAGCCTGATGGAAGGAGGCACCTGCTCCAAGGTGAGAGGTTTTGGGGAATGGGAGGGCTGGGAGCAGCAGTGTAATTTTTGGAGGGAGGACGAGGCGCGGCAGATGATGTGGGGATTCCCAGAGTGCTCCCAAAACAGCTTCTTTGACTGGAAATGTATTTTCCTTGTGTCATTTGGCTCTGTTCCCCCGGAGCTGGGGAAGGGATTTCAGTGGTAATAACCACTGGGAGAACCCTGGGAACAACAAATCCCCCTGGGTGAGAGGTTTGGTGTAAGTGGAGGTCTGGGGGTGCTGTTTCCATGATCCCATTCCATTGGAAATGGGGTCAAAACCAACGTGTGGGAGTGGCTGATCCAGCACAAACCCATTCCCTGTGCCCCCAGAGCAGATCAGTGAGTCCCTGTGCCAGTGAGAGCGGCAGGACTGCGCTGGAAATGCTGCTGGGAAAGTGACTCCAGTGCTCCCACACGGATCGGGGAAGGAGGAAACCACGGAACACGATGGACACGGCACCGGGGGCAGCTGCTGGACTGGAAAAGCCAGCAGGGTTTGCCCAGCACCAGCTCACAGTTGGCACAGGCAGCACAGAAATCACCTCGTGCAATGAAATTTGGGACTTCCCACAGCTGGCTGCTCCCCCTGGCACTGCTGCCTGTGGGCAGGCTGGGACAGCAGCAACAATTCCCAAGGTTTGAAGGGGGGCAGGACTGGCTGGTGCCAGGATCCTGGGCACAGGGGTGAGGATGTGCTCATCCCTTTGAGAAGGGGGCACAAAGCACCACGTTTCACATCATAACCAAAGCAGGAAAGAAAAAAACCACACGAACTTTTATTGCTGGTGAGAAGAGTTTTTGGTGCAACACTTCTGTCACAACACTACTGCACTGTGCAGAATAAAGAGCTCAGACTTTTTAATTCTTGGCTTTTCTTTTTGCCCTTCATGCCTGCAACATGAGCAACCCTTTCCCAGACATGTCTGGGAATGGCAGGCTCCAACTAGCACTCCTGACTGTCCTGGTTTGTCTGCTGCAGGCACGGGTTTGCCCTTTGGGCATAACAGCTCATCCCATGGATTTATTTTTTTTCCTGGAATTAGGGCGCTGTGGTCTGAGCTGCCTTCACACAGGTCCTGGCCCAGTCCCACCAGTACAAGGGGTGAGTACAAACTGGGCTGGGCCAGGCACAGCTTTGAATTTAAAGGGTTATTGGGGTTGAAGCCCACCCTGCTACAACACTGAGCTACAGCAGAATTGTTAAATCCTCTCTAATGACAGCTCAGGTCAAGGTGTTGTCCCCTGTCCCAAACAAGGGCTCTGGGACTCTGCAGCCTCCAGGAGCTCTCCTGCCCACACAGATCTCTCAGGGTGCCTCTAATGTTTCTCATGTCACTACTAAAAGCTGCCTGACCCACGGAGGGGTGACCACAGGCTGTCCCTGTCCCTTCTGCTGCACAAGCCATCCTGAAAAGTGGCCCCTCCTCAGCTCCAGCCAGGCCCCTGCTGCTGGGGATTCCTGCTGGGATCCCAGTCCTGGGTGCTCTGCTGCCTCCCAAAGAGCTGTGCCTGTTCCTTGGGTGCTGCTCCTGCTCCTTCAGTGATATTTTCGCCAGCGGTGCCCCTCTGGAACGACAGGGAGAAAAATTTCAGTAAAAGCATTCCAGTGTCAGCTGAGGGATCTTTTTGGGGGGTTCCAGTTGGGATTCATTTCATTTGTCAGGAAATGCAGGGAACAGGAGCTCCTGGGGGAACATCTCCTCCCTCTGCCCAGTGTGGGCTTTTCCAAGTGTTCCTGACAATCCTGGTGTTCTCCAGGGAGTCAGCAACTGCTGTCAGTAATTTATTAACCAAATTCTTCTGCTCACCTAGAGAATCCTGCTCTCTGAGCTCTGCTGTTAGTCTTAAATGGGGAGCATTTAAATAATATAATTATTTAAATTATTCCACAGCTTTAATTAACAGGAATGCTAAAAAGACTCTCCAAGTACTGCAAAAGGAAGAATTCCTGAAATAGGAAACCCCAAGGAATTCTTACTGAAGTGCTGATAGTTCCAGCCATAGCTGAGCAGGCAGTAGCCAGCCAGGAGCATGGAGATGCCAGCAGGTCCCCCCTGCTTCACGTGGATGTATTTGGCACAGTAACTGCTCCAGGCTGTTGGGAGAGAAAGGAAAGGGATAAATCATGGGCTGGTCTTGGAAATTCACTGTTTCCATGCAACTTTACAAAGCTAAATTATTTTTTTTTTTATAATTTAATCTAATATTTTATTTATAGTTTATTCCCGGTGCCAGAGAAGCTGTGGATGCTCCTGGAAGTGTCCCAGGACAGGCTGGATGAGTTTTGGAGCCACCTGGGACAGTGGAAGGTGTCTCTGCCCATGGCAGGGGTGACACTGGATCATCTTCATGGTCCCTCCCAAACCATTCCATGATTTGTGCTTTGTAAAGATCCAGGCTGGCCACTGGGACCAGTAAAGTAAATCAGGGAAAAGTGGGATAGATCTCTCCAAAATCCAGGAATTCTCACCTTTCTGTGCTGCTCCCAGCAGGCCCTGGGGAGAGAAGTTGCAGGTGCTGATCCAGGTGTGCAGCTCCCCCAGCCTCACCTCCATCAGGGGCCTCTCCCAGAGGGGACCTGCGGGGTGACAAGTCACAGTGCTCACGGAATGTGGGCTTGGGAAAGGAGAGGGAATCACCTCACCCACAAAGTTTGGGCTCTGTCAGCTCAAACATGCAAGAGCCTGACTCCAGCCTCCATAAAAACATCACCCATTGGATTTGCAGGCTGGAGGATTGCCCAGTTAAACCTCCTTGGATTCTCCTGGATCTTTCCCTGGGCAAACCCAGCAGCTCGGCATTCCCCACCCCTCCTTTCCAATTCCCAGCAAATCCCTGCACGGAGATTTTCGTTACCTGGTTGCCCTTGTGTGAAACCACCCTTGGGTATCTCTGCTGTGATCCTCGCATCCTCGTGGAATCGCTTCCCTGGAAAAATCCTCAGCCCTTCACCATCAGGATACAAGTCTGGAAACCACTCCAAGCCCATGGCACCGGCCCTGGCACTCCTGCCAGAGGCCTGGGCTGAACAGCTGGGCTGGATTTTGGGAGTGTGGAGCAGAGCCAGCTCCGGGGCTCTCCCCACGTTCAGCACGAGCCCGGTCACTCCCTCCACCCGCTCCCCGCTGTCCCGCAGCCTCTGCGGGCTGCTGAGCTCATTTTTGGATGTCCCCTGACCCGTCAGTGACAGCTGGAGGTTCTTGGGACGCAAAGCATCCACGGGGGGTTTAGATCCCACCCCAAATTTCAGGTGCACCTGCTCCTCTCCTGCCGTGAAATTGTCTTTTCCCTCCTGTTGGGTCAGATCACCGGGGCTATTTCTGCTCTCAGGGGGCCCTTGAAGTTCCTTTGTTGCCTTTAAACGTTTTTTTTCTCCCTTGCTGCTCCCAGTCCCGCTCCCCACGGCTCCCTGGCTCGGAGTCTCCTTGCTCTTGGATTTTTGGGCAGTTTTGCGGCGCTGCGGAGCAAGGCCAGGCTCCGTCCCTTCCCCGGCGCTCCCCGCTGCTCCAGCCCGGCTCCGGGGCTCCTTCTCCCGGACCACCCTGGCGCGGTGCTTCTGGATCACCACCTTCACCCCCTTCTGCAGCTTCTTGGGGACATCCTCCACCTCCTCGGGGTGCAAATCCAGGCTCCGGGCCACGTCCTGCACGGCGCGGGAGCGGCTCCCGGGGCTCCCGGGACCCGCACCTGGGCTGCTCCCGGGGACCGCCTGAGGCGCTGGGCTGGCGCTGCCGGTGCCGGGGGAGCGCTCGGGGCTCGCTCCCGGTGCCGATCCCGGGGCGCTGCCGGTGCCGGGGCCCGGCCTGGGGCTCGTTCCCGGTGCCGGCGCGGCCTTGCAGTGCGGGAGGTGCGCGCGGAGCCGTTTGAAGGGGCGCTGGCAGTGCGGGCACAGCTCCGTGCCCGCCGCCATCACCGCGCGCACGCCCCGCCACCCCGTCCCGGTGACGTCACAATGGCGCAGCTCCCCCTCCGCCGCCGGCCCACGAGGCGCGCGCCGTGACGTCACAATGGCGCAGCCCCGCCCGCGTCGGCGCACGCCGTGACGTCACGGGGGCGAGGCGGCGGCGGCGGCGGAAGCGGCGCTCGGGGCCGGGCAGGGCCGCGCTGCCGCCCCTCAACCGCGGCCTCCGTCCCGCACCGCGGCCTCCGCCCCGCACCGCCGAGCTCCGACCCGCCATGAGCTGCCGGCAGCCGCTGCCGAGCGAGCGGGGAGCGAGGCAGAGGTGGGTGAGGGCAGCGCGGCCTGAGGGACGGGAAGGAGAGGCCGCGCTGAGGGAACGGGGGCTCGGCCGCTCGGAGCAGCCCCGGGGGCGCCGCGCCGGGGGAGGGGTTGGCGTAAGGGGTGAGAAAAGGGAGAGCGGCCCCTGAGCGCTGCGAGCGGTTCAGAGGGGCTGCGGGGTTCGAGGTGTCGGCCACGGAGGTTGGGTGCTCTCGGAGGGTGAAGGGATGTGGGGGATGCGGAGGAGATCCTCGGTGTGGTGGGGGAGGAACCGGAGGGATCGTGGAGCTGGGAGGCAATGGGGGATTGTGGAGACGGGGAATGGGGTGGAAGGAGCCTTAAAACCATTCCCATTCCACCCCTGCCATGGGCAGGGACACCTTTCACAGCCCTGGGTGCTCCAAGCTGTTGAGGTCACTGCAGGTGTTGAGGAAGGGAAGATGCAGATGCAAAGAGGGGTGAAGGGAGGAATATCGAGAATATCCCTTCCCCAGGGAGTGTTCCAGCACAGATGGCCAGCGTTTGGTGCCGGTGGTCCCAGGGATGGGGAGCAGGGAGGCAGCTCCGGGCTGTAGGCGTGGGCCAAATCCTGGCAGCTGAGGCTGGAAGAAAGGAGCCAGTTATAAATACCTCCCTCGAGTCTGTTTTGACTCATTCGAGCACGGATTAATTTTAGGCACACCAAAACAGCTCCATCCTGTGGGTTTTTTTTTTATTTTTGGAGATCCTGGCTGACTTGTCACGTTTGTACGGTGGGGAGAAGCGTTTGATGTTTGTGTAGGAATTCTGGGGTGCTGTGTTGGTGTCACAGAATCTCACAGTGATTTGGGGTGGAAGTGACCTTTAATGTCATCCAGTGCCACCCCCTGCCATGGGCAGGGACACTTTCCACTGTCCCAGGTTGTTCCAAGTCCTGTCCAACCTGGTCTTTGAGGTCTTCCCTTTATCTCCTCTAATCTGGGAATATTAGCATCACTCCCATTATCCTCCTCCAAACTCTGCCTTGATGCCTGCAAAGATTTGGATAAAAATTAGGTTAAAACTTGTACCCACCAGGCCAGGGTGTTGTGAGGGGGTGGCAAATACAGCAGAAACTGGGAAGAGTTTGTTTTCCACGAGGTGTTTCCTTATTTCCACGTGGGAAATTGGATTGTTTTGGGATGTGACTTGACTCCAGACACTGTCAGAGTGGAGAGTTGTTGTGGGGTGGTGTGAGCAGCTGAATAATTGGAGATGTGGTCACTGCCACTCGTCCCAGTGCTGTCCCCAGCCTGTCAGGTGTCACTCTGAGCCCAGGGATTATTTTTAGATGTGTAAGGCTGACAATTGTTAAACGAGTTTATTTAGAAGGATGAGTTTAATGTGAGTCCACGTGCCTTAAACTGATGGGAAACATCTTGTGAGAAGCAGGATCCTTTTCTCTGCCCTCAGGCAGCAGCTAAAAGGGGAATGTGGGAGTCCACAGCACCTCAGGGGTCTGGAGACATCCTGCATTAATTTATCAGGTGTTCCTGCTTTTTTTGGGTGCCTTCAGAAGGTAGATCAGTGAGCTGATGATTGATTTTTTCTCCTGCAGGAAGAGGAGAAGGAACGGCAATGAAGATGATGGTCACGTTCCCCAGACCAAACGTAGCACCAGGAATTCTGTCCTGCAGGACTCGTGGGACACTGAGGTGAGAGCCTTGCCAGGCACATCCAGTCTCCTCCCATGCTGCATTTCAACAGCACTTGGAATATCCTGTGCATTCATTTAGTTTTTATTTCATAGCTTTGTGTTTGAGGTCGTGAGGTTTGACTTGGTGACATCAGAGATCGAAATCAGCACTGAATCACTTTGGAAATCAGCATTTCCAGTGAGCCTGGTTATCCATTATTTCCATGTATTTTCTTATATTTATCCACATATCCATAGATTTCTAGGAAGAAATTTCAAATCCTGCTGTGCAGCACCCAGGGAAATAATTTCCTGCTGATTTTGCTGTGTGGGATGAGCTGAGGGGATGCTGAGGGTGGATGTGTCCCTGTGCTCACTCTGCCTGACCATCAGCTTTGCCTTTCCTTACAGTCAGGTGATTATTTGTGGGAGAAAGACAAAACACATTCCAGGCAGGCCTTATCTGATGTGGAAAAAATGCTCTGATAGAGCTGCTCAGTTTGTTCACAGCTAAAACACTCAAAGTGCTTTGGTTTTTTTCTCACATTTTCCATGATTTTTTGCCGGATGTGGGATAAACTCCCTTGTTTTCTTACCCCTCACCAGACAATGTTCTCTCAGTGCGTTTTGAGATTTCTTTTTTCTTAAAAAAAAAAAAAAAAATTGCTGATTTCCCAACTGCTGACAGATTTCCTGAGATGTCACCTGGTGAATCACCTGAAAATTCACTGTGAGCAACGTCCTTGTGTTCAAAACATTCATGGAAAAGAAGGTGCAGAACCCTCTCTGAAGTTAATGAAATTAATTTCTTTGAAGGTTTTGGAAATACCCTTGGTTTTTTAGAGCCTCCTCACTTTGAAGGTGGATTGTAATGAGCACTTACAATCTGAATTATTACAGAATTAACTCAATTATTCAAGTATTCATTGTACTCCGCAGAAAATATTTAGTTGCTGTGTAACTTTGAGCTCTTTTATAATCTAAAAATGATTTCAAATGAATATTTCTACATTGGTGTTGTGAGGGAGACTCTCCCTCAACCTGTACAAATAGATCATGTGATAGGAAACACTGCTGGAAACGCTTTAAGAGCTGCTGTCCATCATGAAGGAATCCTCTGGGATGAAAAGTGCCCTGTGCTGCTGTGTTCTCAGCAGGGACACTTTGCATTTTGGGGTGTGCTGGGGAGAGGCAGCCCTGATTTGTTGCCATCTGACACTGAATCACTTGTCCAACAGGTCAAACCCCTCCGTGTGTGTAGAGTAGTTAAAGGCTAAAGCAGCTTTAGAGGAGGAGGACGGATTTAGTGTGGAACAAGGGATTTGAAGTAGGAGTAATGAAATTAAGGATATCAGGAAAACCCCCTGATGGTGAGTGCCAGAAGCACCTTTGCTTGTTGTGTAAACACCTGGTGTTTGGGCAGAGCCACTAAAAGCAGGACTGGCAGTGGGTTTGTGGCCACACAGGAGGGGTGACCTCAGCCCTGGCCTGCTTTCCTGTGAGGGAACAGCACGGGCATGGCTGAGCCAGGGCAAGGTCACTGCTCAGCCTAACACAGATCTGCTTCTTGCATGCTCTTGCCTGGTAAAAGTCTGGTTTTAACACCTTAAACCCTGGTGTGAGGCAGGGAGGAGCTGTCACTGCTGAGGAATGGACACAGCTTCTCAAACACCACGGCCTCCTTCCTGGGGAACAGAATTCCCAATGTTTGCTCCTGATGAATAGAGCTTTTTCTCTCT